TCTTCTCATTGGACAAAACTCAAGATTCTCCCCAAAGTAGCGTCTGGAAAAGAATCCACGCCCAGGACTTCCAACTGTGGCAACATCACAGGGCTGAGGTTTCCACTTGGGCTTCTGGTGTTCTCGGGAGACCCGGAATCTGTCTGCCTCAAACGCAGTGGCTGAAGGTTTGGTCTGTAATGGCTTGCGACCTGTTTCGATCACCCTGTCAGGACACTATGTGCTGCGATGGATCAGAAACCTCAAAAAATCCATCATAGGTTTGGCCTTCGTGTCTGGTCCTCTACAAAGACACAGAGATATTTTTCAGGAACTGCAACCCAGTGGGGTGAGGTGCAGCCCTCAGTTGACTCCATTGGCTTTTAGAGAAGCTAACTGGAAGCATGGAGAAGTAATTTTGAACCTTAAGATGTCAGAATATCAGGGCTTCTAAATCCTTTCTCATTTGTGGTGCACTTCTTACAGTAACAAATTATCCTTGTGTTAAGGGTGCCGATTTTGTCCCCATTTTTGATGGGGAGAGCTTGGAAACAGATGAGTAGAATCTTTTTCTTGATCCTTTGTATGGAGAAATTTAGACACTGAAGTCGAGACTCCTTCTGTAAGGGCAAAAGATGTTAAATCTTTCAGCAGGAAAAGAGGATACAGCTGCTTTCCTGTCCTTACTACATTTTGTATGCTTTTCGTTTTGTATATTCCAAAGGAAGTAGAAAAAAACTATCTCTAAGGAAGCAAAGATCTTCCTTCCTGTTGGAAAAGAGTCAGCAAAGATGATAAATTCCCTGCCAAATGAGTCATTTCTTCACTTAAAGAGACTTCAAAGCTTTTTTAAAAAAAAATGCTTCTCAGAGCATGGGGCTTAGATATGAAGTTGAAGGCACTCATAATGGCTGTCACTGATCTTTCCTTTATGGAAAATGATACGTAGAAAGATGTCAAGGAAATAAGTGGTTTGGGTGAGATACTGCAACACAACCTCTTAATAGAACAGCTCTAACAAATATATTCCTATTGGACTGTGCTCTGCCAGAAGCAAGAAGCAAAGCATTTAGGATTGCCCAGTACTTTGAGCCCTGCTTGTTGAGTCTAAGTTGTTGAGGATAAGTAAATATTTATAGGATAAACAAATGAAAAACAAAGAACTGTTAGTTTGACAGTAATACATTTTCTTGAAATGTGGAATATATGGGAAATAATATGAATAAAATTAAGATTAATATAGCATTGACTTAAGGAGCAGGTAAAGGCACAATTACTACATAGTGACATTTATTAAAGCATTACATTCACAATATCTATATTCTTTCTCCTTACATGTTTCACTTTGAGGAACTCTTATGAAGACTGCTGGTGGTTAGTAGTCTTGTAAGAGATGAACAGTAATAGCTGTATTAATACTTTAAAATAATAAAATTATAGGGAATTAATTGTATATTAATGCTCTGCAAATTCGACAGTGTGGACTGTGAAAAAACTGCACAAAAATACATTATTTTGTCTTTTGTTTTGTGAGCATTTGATGATGTGATACTGTGCAAACCATCAGAACAGGCTCTAGGTGTTTAAATACCTAAGAAGTCTGAAGATGTGACACCTTAGACTCAGCGTGGATGTGGGTGGCAACTCCTTCCAAAGGCCATGGACAATCATTTGGCCTTGGCTTAGATGAGATGGCTCAGTGTTAGACTGCAATGAAACAAAAATCTCACATTTTCATATTGACACAGCATGAAGTAGTGTGGGGACTGTTGACACCGCATGGGGACTGTTTTGTGGAATAAAAAATAACTGTAACAAGCTGTGAATTGTGAGGCCCCAGGAGGATGGAGGAGCGCTGGTCCGGGAGGGCGATGGGATGGGATGGGATGGGATGGGATGGGATGGGATGGGATGGGATGGGGTGTCCCCCTTTTCTCAGCACGTTGAACAGCCAAACGGTAGACACCTGCCCCGTAACCCCACGGCATGAGCCAGGGCACCCGATGTCCTCTGGAGATCTGCCCGCTTTGCACAGCGAGGGACACGCGCCTGCCTGCATGGGGATCTGCTGCGCGAGCAGCTCCCCGAACAGGAGGCCGTGGCAGCTTGGGGAAGAACCCGTGATTTATCTAGCTCAGCTTAGAGGCAAGTTTATTTTATCCGGAAAAACGTTAACCCACAGGGTTAAGGGTAGTTCTTTACTAGCTGCCAGTACTTAGTAATTCTCGGTTTTGTTCCCTTTGATGTGAGGGATGGCCAATAAATGAACCATTTGGGGAAAGTAAAACTGGACAACAAATGTGTCCCCCTGCCCACTCCCAACCCTTAAACGCAGGATGCAAGGCAGTCAAGAAAGAAAAAGGAACAACACGCACAAAGTTCTCTAATATCAAAATATAGCAATTTATTCAAGACACTGAATATGATCTGTTGATTCTCTCCTTAAAACAAATGAGCTACAATACACAAGGTGAATTTGAAGAAAGTGTGGGCAGGGGAGAAACAAAATAAGGGGTTGATGTTGTTTCAACAGAACCTGGGAAATGCTGAAATGAGAACCAAGTCTGGCTGCAAGTCTGACACAGACAATAAAAACTGCAGAAGCCAGAATTCAGAATTTCAGTGAGTGGCTGAAAGAACATTTCTGCATTTGACAAAGAACCACATTTTCTTTAAAGGCAAAAGGAGGAAAAAAAGGAGGAAGAATTAAAAAGGAAAAAAAGAAAAAAAAGAAACCCAGAAACAAAGCAGACCCTTACATTTGACAAAGTGCACTTCACTTGGCTCTAAAATTAGCTATTTTTTTTTCTCTTTTTAAACAAATTAAAAGGAAATTTCTAAGATGTAGCATGGGGTTAATGTGTGTGTAACCCTGTAAGTCAGGCCCTTTAGTGCCCCATAAGGGACCCAGTGTTTCCACATAAAAGATTCAGTATCCTTCCAAACAGTGGAGCTGAGTGTTTTTTCAAAAATCTGTCCCTTTTTTTTTTCTTTCAAGGCCAGTTCCAGGCAGCCAGCAAAGATAAAATTCCAGTAAGAAGCCTCTTGGTGGTTTCACAATTCAGTTTGGTCTCTTAGTTTTGTCTTTTTGTTTGTTATTTTTTTTTCAATTGCTCTTCCATTGCTAAGAACTACAAACAAAAATTTCAAAATATTGTGTGAAAAAAAAAAAACCCAACCCAGAACCCGCCCGAGTCCTCCAGCCAGCCTGCTGCTTCCCGCTCTCCTGCCCCACAGCCCGTGATGCCCCGGGGGGCAGGCGCTCCCGTGAGGGCCCTGGCGAGCAGCCGCCTGCGCCCGGAGCGGAGCCCGCGCCGAGCTGCTCGCCCATCCCCACAGCCGCAGGAACAAGGGGCCTGGTCCAAACGAGTCTCTGCAACCGCGGCCTCTGCCACTGCGGCCTCTGCCACTGCGGCCTCTGCCACTGTGGCCTCTGCAACCGCGGCCTCTGCAACCGTGGCCTCTGCAACCGTGGTCTCTGCAACGCAGCCTCTGCGACTGTGGCCTCTGTGACTGCGGCCCCTATGACCACGACTCCCGCTCGCCTTCCTCTCCTTCCCTGTCCTTGTTTTATCTCCAGGCTGTCACCTCCCTCCGGACCTCTGCGAATCTGCCTGCTTTGGAGGGGCAGGAGGGCGAATTTCCCAGCTTTTTGCCACCGCTGCTTTCAAACGGCCTCCGTGGGGCTCTCACAGGCGGGCGCTGCCGCGCAGCTGGGCTGCGGCCGCGTCCCTCGCGGCCTCCGTGCAGCCTGGCAGGGACACAGGGTGTCCTCACTGCGAGGCCAGAATGACGGGAGCACGAAACACGTCCCGGACGCGGCACACGTACCGAGCTGCCACTCCCGGGGAAACGACAAATGCCGGGCAAGAGGGGAACCACCTGCGTGCAGCGATTCTAACGAGATCGTCAACTCGACCGCGCTCTGTAAACCACAATAAACCTTTCTCTTCAAATTCAAGCCTCTCTTCTAATAACTATTTTTTTTTCTTTTTTTTTTTAGGCAGTGACTTTTGACTTTAAATTAGTAGCTACACGTGGTTATTACAAAATAGTGCAAAACTGCTGCGTGATCACCTACAGTTGTGCTCTTGGAGCAGAAAACTAAATACAACACACAGACACATTTAACACCAAAAACAATCCGTGATACCTTCCAGTGTCCAATTCTTTGATATAAATTACAAACAAGCCTAACTGTAATTAATAACCAAAATCCCACATAATCATCTTCACCTCAGGACTAAATAACCCTTTTAGCAGTAATTTATTTCCATTATTTTTCTTCCTTTTCAAATGTGTATCTTGAGGAAAGAGGCTGAGGCTGACAGTGGTTCCACCAAGAAGACTAAGATATTGGTACAGACACAAGTGTAAAGAGAGCAAAACAAAGGAGAAAAACACACAGCATGAACTCCGGGATGCCGAGATGCTCGGCAGGTTTCGCAGCAGCGTTTTCACCATCGGGTGCCTGGTTCTGTCCCTGCTCACACCGAATCACCCTTCAGCAGCTGGGCTCAAACCAGCGGGACGTTTCTGCGTTGGGAAATCGCAGCGTTTGTGCTATGTGGCTTTAGAGGGGTTCTGCTTCTTTGCTGTTGCGCACGTTACCAGCCCTGGCCTCTGGGCTGGGCTTGGGTGGTGCTGAGGCCGCGTCTCGCCGGCCCGCGGGCACAACCTGCCCTTGCTGACCCGCCGCTCGCTCCTGCGCTACCGACCTCTCCCGAAGGCACCACCGCAGACGGCCTTAACCCGCGCAGGGAAACCCGCCCCAACGGCACGGGCGGCACTCGGGAAGTCTGTGCTGTCACTCCCATCACCTCGGCCACGGTAACGTCACGGTGGTGTAGGTGTTGAGGAGTAATCCATGTATCATAAATCACACCCTCACCTAATATAGCAACCCGAGCTGTCTCCTGTGCATAACACCAAGGGCTTGCCCTAAACCACACGTGCGAAGGTCCAAGCACGGAGCCGGTGCACGAGGGCGGCAGCAGCTCCGCACGCGGCCAGAGGCAACGGCAGAGCCTGTGTCAGATGGGGCTCACCAGGACCAGGACAGGAGCGTGGCGGGATCCGTTCGCCAACAGCGACAAGCGCAGTCCACGCTATCTTGGTCCAACGGGGCCCGTGAGGCCGGTGATGAAATCTCAGCGACCCTCCGGCTGGGAAAGAGCGGATGGGGATGAGCGGAGGAGGTGGGAGCTGCTGGGCACCATTGTGGCAGGACCCAGTGGTGTCTGTGGGGGGACGTGGGGTGGCCCCTGTCCCCAGCGAGGACGAACGTGCGCCCGCCGCGCGCACGCGCTCCCTTCCATCGGCCTGCGCCACCAACGGCCCCGGACCCGAGAGCGGCCCGCACCAACATCTGGCTGCTGGAAAAGGACTCCAATGAACAACTGGCTCCTTCTTTCTTTTTTGTTTTTTTTTTGTATCAAATGGCATTTTTTCTTACAGTACTTTCTGAGAGAGACGAGAAAAAGGATACTGCACCTTTCATGTTCCTCGGACTCTGTTTGTGTCATTCTTTTTACTTGAATAACACAACTGGTCTACATTTGGTGGCCAGTTTAGGCTTTTAAAACTGTGTTTAACATAAAAAATATTTTTTTCCAAAAATACACTGGGTTCTTTCTGTTAAAAGTCATCTTTCTCCTGTAAAAATCTTCCCCAGCACTGCATTCTTATATAAAGCACTTATTACACAATTTGCTGAAAGTGCCCTTGAGACGCTAAGATCTGAAGCATGGAGGATTATTTTTTTTTCTTTTTAAATGGAGAGAAAGGAAGAAAAAGAGAGAGAGAGAGAGAGAAGAGAGGAGAAGCAGTCTGTCAAAAATTTTCATTGTCATGTCCACCTGGCTGCATCTACTATGGGCATACAGGGAAAAAAGAAAACAACGGGAAGAAGAAAGAGAAGGAAAAAAAAAAAAAAAAAGAGAAGTTGGGAGTGGAAGGGAGAAATAAAAAGGAAACAAAAGCTTCATCCTAAGCCTGGGATCCTCCAGGCTATAATATTCCAGCTGATAGAAAAACCACTGAACAAAAAAAGTAGTCTAGAAAATAGAAAGTGTTGTGATTACAAAGTTGAGCATTTCATCAGTACAAACTGGTCTTTGAACGTCCTTTGGGAGAGCAACTGTAGTGTCCAAATTGGAAGGAAAAAATACACACCGCATGGAGGAGGATTTTTTTTTTCCCTTTTGGTTTATCACAGCATTTTTCTTTTTTTTTTTTTTTTTTTATTAACTTTTTTTTTGGCACAGCTTTTTTTTTTTCCCAGCCATCAGAGCAAGTTCTCAGACGCAAACCAAACAGTGCAATGCCTAGCTGGTGGCTTCATGCTTCCAAGGCTGAATGTTCCAGGTGGAAACCATTCCCTCCCCCTCTGAAGTGACTGTGTTTTTACTCCTTGATGAAGGTTACGGACAAAATACTAGACACCTGTGGCCAGGGAGAGTTGGTTTCACGGTACACTCTAACTTTGTTCAAGTTCGTAAAGTTCTGGAGCTGTTAAGAATAGTTTTGAAGAGTGCTTCTCCCCACACATTCACTGCTGGTCCATTTGAAATTTCTTCTAAAACATTTCACTTTACTTCCGCAGATCTAGAACACAAACCTGGAGAGAAAAGACTCGGGATTAAGAACCATCTTGGAAGGTTTCTTGGAATGCAGATGAATTTGTGGCCCACACAGTGGCTGACCAGCCAGCGGCTGAAACAAACCAGCATGTCCCGCTGCCAGGCCTCACGGAGTCTGGCTAAAGCACCCGCTTGCCTGAGCTCAAGCAAGGAAACAAACCATAGGGGAGGAAATGAGTGAAAACCATGTAATAAAGTTACATAAAATAAATATATAAAAACAAAATAAGCTGAGTGAACATATTGTTTCACTAGAACAAACACACATCTGCGACACTGCACACCCCAGATAAGCTTGGATATTCCATTCTATTCAGTTGCCTAAGCATAAGTACCTACTTCCATGCGAGGAGCATGTTCATTTGGAGCAGTTCTTGGAAGCCACGCATGGCACTATCTCAATTGCCCCACCACTAAGCTCAGGCAGCTGAATCCTGAAGTTAAAAGCTCGGGAAATACTGCTCTGGAGCAAAGCTGAGCCTGCCACCCATGGAGAAGAGCTATTTAGAAAAGCCACAGAGTGTGCTCTAACATCTGCATGTCCCTGCAAGCTGCTCACGCTGTACTGACATTTTCATAAAGTAAAATTAACAGCAATGATAGCAATGAATTATCATTACTATCATTCATGATGAATAAATATGAAGTATCTGCAAAGCAATACTTCCCCTTTACCACATGATCTTTTTTTTTTTTTTCACAAACTGCTGAAAATTTCTTACTTTAGGTAAACTTCTGCAGGGTAAAACTTAGTCCCAAGGCAATTACTGATCAGACATTTGACTGCTGTGATTTTCTTTACATTTCGACAGGCAAGACAATGGATAGAAATGTTGCTCCTGTTCTTCTTATCAAATATGTATTTTCAAATCTTTCCCCTCTCCAGCAAGATTCACCTACTCCACAAGCATTCTTCTTTTGGAGTAGCACCATCACCTCCCAGTATTCAAAACCTTTCAGAACAGGAGGCACTTTTAATATTCTCCATAGCTCTACTTTATTCTGTCCTGAGCTTTCTACCCCTCCACCTCTGTCCAGAGCAGGCAGCAAGGCAAGACGCACTCTCCAGAGCAGCAATTTCCATGTCAGCATTTACACTGTGCACAGATTCCTACCGATCCATCTGATGCGCTTGCTCCCACTTTGTCTCCTCTTGCATTCCAGCAGACTTCGAAGATGCCCCCGGTGCCTCTGTAGCTATGTACTAGGGTTCCGCTCTGCAGCAAAACAGCAACCAAAGTTAGTCACAGAAATGACCTCTTTTTTATTCTCTCTGTGTGACAAGACTCTTGTCTGAGTGACAAGACATTAAGGGAAGAGAGTGGCAGTGAGGGGGACTTTGATAATGAAGAGCAGTGGGGTTTTCCAGAAGGCAGCTCACGATAGGGGCCTTGGATGTCGCTTCCCATGCACGCTGAGGGGGCAGCGGCCTCGGGAGCCGGGCTGAGCCGACGTCTCCCAGGCTGGCTGTTCGTTCTGGCTGTGAGGAGCAGAGCCCGGAGACGTCTGTGCAGCATCAGGGGGGCGACAGTTCCACCCCACCGTGAGGGGCCCCGGCACTTCCCTCAGTTCCTCGTGCAGTAAATGTCCCTCGTGGGCGGCATCGCCAGGCCCGGGAAAACCCGATGGAGTGGGGAACTTGCACCGCTCCTGCGCCCGGGCACACGGCACACACGCTCCCGTGAGGGGGACAATCCGGGTGGGAAGGGAGAGCTGGTGCCCAGCTCGCTCCCACGGCGGGAGGGAAAACAGCTTCCTGGGGAAAAACTCAACGTCCCACTGCCTTTTCCCAGAGGATTCCCCAATTGTTCATCCTTTGTATCTACGATCCTTTCATCGGGTACTATAAGCCAGGAGCATGGGACTCACACTCCAGCTAACTTTGCTGCTGAATACAGGTTATCACTTATTTCTTAGAGTCAACCCCTGCCTCTGCTTCACCGTCTGTACCTGTTCTCCTGCACACTTTTGGTTTTGCCTAGAGAGAAGCTTTAGCAGCCCTGGACAGTCACCTCACTCCCCTGAGAGACTCAGCTGTTACGCTGGGATTTATATCAGCACAAAAATATTGTATCAGTACAATCAGGTTCACCTTGTCTGGCAGGGCACAGTCCTCAGAGAAACACATATTTTCCCTTTAAGTTTTTACTACTCATTTGTCATCTAGAACAGATGTCTTTTACATGAATCAAAGAAGTACCTGAGTATTCCATATATGGACACATTTGTCAAAGGACCCGCTGGCTAAATATTTCCCATCAGGACTAAAAGCTACACTGTAGACAGGCTCCTGATGCTTTGTTAACGTGTGGATACAGACTCCTCGGTCAACGTCCCACAGCCGAACAGTGGAATCAAACGAAGCGCTGCAAGAAGCACAAACACACACAAACCTGTGTTACCTGGGGTATTAATCAGCTTGCAGTTTGATGCTGTACATATCTGCAGAGAACACTAGGGTTCCTTTTCTTTGCTAAGCAGGAAGCAACGTTTCAAACAGAAAGACGTACGTTCACTAGCGCCTTAACCTTCCTCACGGCAGGCACAATATCCACAGAGAGAATTCTTGTATGGGGACCCTTGAGTTGAGCTGGGGATGTTGTGTGTAGGATCAGATCATCATCCCAAACAGGGCCAACCCTCTCTTTTTTGAGATTCTACCTGCTGTTATTGAAGAAGTTAAACATATGTTGTCATTTATAGGACAGACTGTTCAGAGAAATCTTATTCCTAAAGGATTTCCATCATCCAATGATTTAAATTTATGTAATTCTCTAGAACTGCAGTTCTTTCACTTTTGTTTTCAGTGATGTTTTTCCCCCAGTATGCCTAAATCCCAAATTGTGGGCTTAGGAAAAGACAAGGGAAGTAACTAGTATTAAAAATATCCATATTAGAAGAACAACCCTAAGGAAGCAAAGTTCTTTCCTACCCCTTGACCTGTCCTTTCCCAAAGAGAAGATGAAATAAATTAATCAAATTAGATGTATCTTTTTCCTGAAACAAAGACATCAGAAACTGATTTGTTAATCCAGTAGTATGACCATCAATTGGCATTCCTACAAGCAATGATACTTCCTAAACTCAAATAAAATTTTTGAATGAATTTTTAAGTGGAAGTTTCAGCTTTTGTCTGCTAGTTAATAAGGCTATAAAAACAGTCAGTATCTGCACAGGTGAGCTGCATGACCCTTGTTACAACATACTCCAAGTGGTTTAATAGGCTGCCATCTGTCTCATTATATATAATTACTTATAACAGCCAGTTGCCAAATGTGAAGATTCAGTGCCAGATTTACCATCTTCTAATTGAGACAGCAGAAAAATTAAATATCATGGCTCAATTTTCCTCCCTTTTCTTCTTCCTTTTCCCAGTGTGTTTTCTTTCCCTTTGTATTTCTCCCCTGACTTGCAAGTGCAAACACTCGTTAATATGATGTGCAGCTGGCTTACTGGAATTGTCCACAGGAAGAGCAACATCATGAGAACAGCATAACTGCATGTCAGAAAGATGTTCCTTTTTCTTGGTAAGAGGAAAAGTGCATTTTTACCTTGCTAACATGATGTTGGAGTTTGGATTGCTGGTGCCTGGTCCTGTAGGACTCCATTTGATAGTATAAATCTCTTTGCTGTGAGCCTGAAGATCGTGTACACAGGTGTCTTGCTTCATACTCCAAATCTATGCCAAAGGAATTATGAAGGAGAAAAATGGCAATGTTATTCTCAGCTAAATTATTTCTGTCCCCTTTATTCTTGTGTTATTCTTGATGTTTCTTTATTTCCGATTTAGATATAAATGCATGACTTAACTTGAATTTATTAACCTAGCAGTTTGTTGCCTATAACGCATGTACATTAGAGAAATCATGTTAGAGGAAACGCACAGAAGGTGAAGAAGTTCTAGTTGAAGAAATCTAACTTGTTAAGTCATGGATAGCAATAGCACTTATTTTAAAAAATTAGAATCGGGTCCCATGACTCCTTAAAATCCAGGAGTTTTCCCTTATGCCAGTGAGATTTTTCTCACTGTTGGATTTTTCTTTTTTCCCAAACTCCCCTTGTTTTCTTCATGTTTTGTAACTGCAGGGATGATGGAACAACATCTGCTATTTATGCAGTGTTGCGTGGCTAAATAATTTAGTAAGAGACAAAGAATATGCTGAATAGACATGCCAGGTAATTCACTACATCTTTTTCCAGATAATTAAGAAAAGCAGAAGAACGAGCTAATCTCTCACAGCAGGGAAAATAACCCAAACTGCCATCAGTTTCAGAGAGATCAGAAAAGTAGTAATACTTTAATTCTCCAGTTAAAGGTCTGCACTGTGAGGAAAATTGTGCTTTTATGCTGAATTTTCAGTAGCATCTGAGACCATGTTTGGACCTCAAAACTGAGGGAAAAAATGAAGACAGTGAAGATTAATTTTGACGAAAACTGAAGAGACGCTGTATTTGCCTGAAGAGGATCTGAAACCTCCATCACTGTTTTTAAAACAGGCGAGGCCAGTGACAGAAACCCCCTAGGTCTTGTGCCAGATTTGGTGGTCAGAAATTTGAACTGGTATCAACAACACTGAGCCAAAGCAGTTTTGAAAACATAGCATGGAACTGGACACTGGAAAAAACGTTCAACCACTGGGTGAGGCTGCTTAGCAGAGACTTATTGTTACTGCCTGATACTGCAGTCCTGAGGTGCTCCCTTCAAGCCACCTCTAGGCCTCCCTTCTGTAACTTTGCATTTCTGTGAGTAACCTGGAGTTCTCTATCACGAATGCAGAGGGATTAAGTCCCCAATGGGTATGTGGCAAAGACAAAAAGAGATTAACAGGAGATGTCCATAACGTAGCTGTATACTTAGGTCTTACCTACACTCACAAGTTTTGCAGCTCTCTGCGTTTTAGTTCTTCTACATAGACTGTGTTTATGCTATAAGCATCTATTCTAGCTTTGTCAGTCCACAGTGGAAAGGGGTGTGAGTTGTAATTAGCACTGAAATCTGTATTCCGGGTATAATTCTATCCACAGAAACAATGTTATGTTAGGGATGTTAGCTCTGCCCAGAGGAAACAGCGCAAAACAATAGCTGTGCTGGCATCTGGTTCTGCAGCGCGGCAGGAGGGCCCTTGTGTCACAAAGCACAGGCCTCACTCCATGGCCTTGGGAAAGGAGAACAAGACTGAGGGGAAAGTTTGGACTGAAAAAACAAACAGACAAACAATAAACCAGCTCTACTGTAGAAAGCAGCTTTGCCAGCCCAGGCTCTCCCTTCATTACTTTGCTTGGGAAGCAGACGGGGCCAGTGGAGCCACCTGTGTGCCAGCAGCTGGATTAATCTCCCCAACTTCAGGCACCTCTCGGGTAAATCAGCAGTGGAGCTGACCGAGGCCCCTCACACAGTGAGGGGATGAATTGAGGCACCTTCAGAGAATGGTTCAGTGATTTGGTGAGCTTGACGCGACCCTTCCATGGACATGCCCTGCCAATGGCTTATGCCAGGGCTTCTCAAACAATTGGTTATTCCAACAAAAGTGCTTGCAGAAGAAAGACTTCAAAGGGAAAACTCTTTGGTTTTATATTCTTTACAAAGTACAACAAATAGTCTGCTTAGTGTAGGGAAAGAGCTTCTACTGACAGGCAAGCAGATGCATGTACGTATATACATAGACACACACATATTTTTTAAACTATATAGTCTTACTGATGCAGTGCTACGATGCTGCAGTCGATTAAAAAAGAGAGAGAACTTCATTTCTTTTACCTTTTGAACAGATGAAATGGAAAGTAAATTACCTTTAATGTCATGTCATCGGAGCAGGATGCTAGGAGCATGCCAGAGGGGTCCCATTTGATTGCATTAACCTCGTTCTGCAACGAAGCACAGTTGCACCAAGTGAGTGCTGAGGTCACGCCAAGGGGCCGGCACCCAGCAGAGGACCCCCAAGGTCCCCGCCGGCAGCAGGGACCTGCCTCGGGCTTCATCAAGCTGACGGGCAATGCAGCACCAACTTCTTCTGGAAAGCCAGCTATTTCCTAAGGTAATATCCTCTGCATCTTGGACATACAAATTTGCAATAGAAAATCCTGGGGGAGATGGGTTAGAGTTTCGTGGAGTTGATTACAGATTTCTGAGGGCTGGGATCTCTCTAAAGAGTGTGCACATGAAATCCAGAGTGGAATATTAAGCAGTTTATGACTCTTTCTCCATCAGTTTTTCCAGTTCTAGGTAATTAACTGAGTCCAGTGTATCCTCCAGATTGTAAGTTTTCCCTGCCCTTTTTTAGGGACAGACATATATAATAACAGGAGGAGGGAAAAAAAAAAGGCATTTTATAAACAGGGAAAGATTATCTTTTAGAAATCATGAGCCAGCTCAGGGTCTTAGTGACAATAATACTGGAAATATTTTTCTTTGCCCATCAGTTAAAAGAAACCACACACACATATTTAAAGTCAAAATTTGGCCCATATACAAAACGATACACTTCATGTAATAATAAACAAAATCAATCCATTAATAGGAATGTGCAGCAATCTTCCAGGAAATATCAATTTAGTACCAATTTATCCACACAAACTAGCTAAAGGTCCCCAAATGTAGATTTTTTTTCCTCAATGGGGAGATAAATAGCTCTGGGAGTTAATAATTTACAGGTCAGTATATCATGGCAGTTTTCTCATGAATGAAAACTAGAAAAACTAGCCTTTGATGGCCATTAAATAGCAAAGAAGAGGGGAAAAGAGGAGTGAAATACATCCTAAATCGGTCTCATTAAATGAAATTGATTCTAAATCCAAAGAATGGCAGTAAATTGCTCTGTCCTTACTCATTCACTAATTTTTAAAGGCCATTAAGAGAGTGGAAAACAAAATCCTCTTTATTAATGTGCCTTCTGCCTGCAGGTCATGCTGCATATGAACAAGGCCTTGGTTTAAGCTACACGTTTTGCCTCCTGGACTGATCTAAGGAGTTGATCCCTTTTCACAGGCTATGGGTCACTCCCAAAGAGCATGGATTTGGGGGAGCAATGAGGTGCAGCACCTTTGGTGCAGGAATACCCTGCTCAGCCCGTCAGCGGGTGCCACTGCTACATGCTGCTGTGGCATCATCACCAGTGTTTTGGCCTTAACTCACTGTGTGTCCTTGAAAGGTTTTAACGGGACGGTCGCAGCCAAGTCTGCACACGTGAATGCACATGTCCGTGCTGCAGGAGGCAAAAGTAGTGTTGTTCTGCCAGTCGACATCCAGAGCAGGAGCTGTGGAGTGCAAACAACGCACGGAGTGTTAGGCAACACGGCAAAGAAACGGTTACTCCAAAATTACTTTGCTTCTGTCACCCCTTATACCAAGGAGACTAAAAGATAGCTGTGAGTCTGTCACCTGCAACTGGACAGGGACTGCTGAGAGGCAAACAGGACTCTTTCTCTGGTAATAGACAATCTGAGTGCTTCGTATGATGTCTATTTGTGAGGCTCTTTCGGGTAAAAGTGGATGACAGTGAGTAAAACAGTCACAGAAGCACAGAATGGTTGAGGTTGGAAGGGACCTCTAGAGATCATCTAGTCCAAACCCCTGCTCAAGCAGGGACACCTACAGCATGTGGCACAGGGTCACACCGGCCTCACCAGAGCTGAGGAGAGGGGCAGGATCCCCTCCCTTGACCTGCTGGCAACACTCCTCCTGATGCAGCCAGGATCCCATTGGCCTTCTTGGCCACGAGGGCACACTGCTCACTCATGGTTAACTTGGTGTCAACCAGGACTCCCAGGTCCCTCTCCGTGGAGCTGCTTTCCAGCAGGTCGACCCCTAATCTGTACTGATGCCTGGGGCTATTCCTCCCTAGATGCAAGACCTGCCACTTGTTCTTATTGAACTTCATGAGGTTCCTCTCTGTCCAGCTCTCCAGCCTGTCCAGGTCCCTCTGGATGGCACCCTCTGGAGTGTTGGTCACTCCACCCAGCTTGGTATCATCCACAAACTAGCTGAGGATGCTGAGGGGGAGATCCTGCTTACACCTTTGCCCTTCCTGCTCCCAGCCTCAGATTTCTTGTGCCACCTCTAGCATTCAAGGAACTCCTCTACAAGCCAGTGCAGCTAGTTATCTGGGCGAAAACTACCCCAAAAAAAATGTGAACTTAGTTTGGTTTGGCATTGACTTAACATAAAGGCTACCTGAGGAGTTTCTGTGGAGGCTTTGGCATTGGTTCAGACTGGTCTAATGAAACTTTCATAGACAGATAGCACATGAACATGTAACCCGGGTGCCAGTGCACACACACTTCGCTGAAAATATTAAAGAAATCAACATTCATAGCAAGTCACTGCAGAGAAAAAACCTGCATAGGAGCACACATGTGGGAACTCCTGACATACACAGCTTGTGTGTGTTTCTGTAACTGCTGCCACTGCTGCTTGCTATTTTTCTCTTATACTAGGAAAGTGTTTAGCTGCCCTCCAGAGGATGAAATAAGATTTGCCAAATTAGAGGAATTTTCATTACAGCACACACGCATTGTAAATGGGTCCGTCAGAATGAGACTAGCAGATAAGAAAAAAAAATTAAAGTGTCAACAATATAGTTTAAGTTTACCATTAAAATGAAAAGAAGAAATTCCTTATTCAAAAAATGTTTGCAGTGAAATACTTTTATAGCATAAAGGCATCTGTTCTGCCAAACATATTACATTTAAATATGCTTTTTTCTTATTTTTATATTCATGAATTATAAAATGAATCATGCTACCCCCTGAATCACTAGGTAGTTCTTCAAATGAGAAGTGATGGTTGAAATAGCTTCAAATACAAATATTTTTTAGCATACTCATGAAATAGCTCAATAATTCTGTGTGTCATTTAAGGAATTTCTACTCTGCAAAAATACAAAGGAAATTGTGTGCAAGGCAGATTCCTGCTGTGGTTTCTGATCTACATGAATGGGGATCAGGAAGCAGTGAAGAATTTTGTTTTTTCTAGCTGCCTGTTTTTCTGTCCATATTACTGTATCGGAGCAAACAAAAGAGCTGTCTTTATTAATAGCAATGCACCTTTGGGCTAATATCTATTATAATATCCATGAGTCCAAAAGCAATTTTCTGAGAGCTACTGGCACCTAAAGTGATTTGTGTTACAGCATAATTTGAATCAAAGAGTGCTGACAATTAATGTCAATTCATTTATTGGTGTATTTCATTATATGTTAAGTGGATAAATCATAATGTAAAATGGTCTAGAAAAAACTACCAAACAGTTTTTGATGCAAGTAATCCGATTGCCAAAGAGGCGTCTCCAAACATCCAGGTTACCAGCCAATTGCTTAAAAGCAGTTAGAATGCCATCTAATAAAGGCAGCAACAAACCTGAGGAAATGCAGATAAAATAAATATGAACAGTAAAATGTTACAGTAAAGGTCAATTCATTTAAGCTTTTACTCATCAAAGCTATGTGTGCTTTAAAATTAGAAGTTCAAAAGTGGAGTGAATTAAACATCTGCTCTGAGTGATTCAGAGCACTTAAGTTAGATGGTACAAAGCTCTCTTATTGCACCACTTAAAATTTGTTCCTGGGTGCATAGATACCAGTATGCTTCTGTCAGTAGATGTGAAATTTGGATTATTTTTCTCCACTTTAAATAAATAAGCTCGGTGAAAATGTGTTTTCTGATGGAGTGTTCTCTGACAGCTACTAAAACTTTGCAGGAGAATAATGAAACCTTAGATATGAGCTACTTCTCCACATAATCACCTATTTGGCCTATAAAACCCTAGCCACATGGGCACATCAATAGTATGGAGGCCTTCAGCACTTAGACACAGGAGTCTCATTTAAGATGAGAGTTTCTAACACGTCACTTTTGTGCACTTGTTTGTAACCTAAACCAGTTGTTTTAGGGCACCGTCGAAATGTTACATTATGCCTAGGCCAGCTATCTCCATATGCCTCATGAATATCTGATAAGAGGACTGTACTCTGTATAGACCACAATTTTAGCTGTTAAAAAGTTTAAAAACTCGTTTAGACACGGCTTTCAGACCCTACACAGGTAAATAATTTGTTATTATTTGGTTCAGGTGCAGAAGTGATGCAAGGATGAGGCGAGGTCTTTGTGGCTTTAGACTCACGTGACCGCAAAGATTCCTACCACTTCATAAGCAAAGATTTTAAGTGACTACTGGACCTTATACTGGGCCTGTATTTTCAGCCTTTCAACAATTTACTTAAGTAACTCCTTTACTTCACTGTGAAAGCCAATTTCAAATTGAAAAAATGTCAGGCTATCCACACCCCACTTCAGCAACATCTCACGGCCTAAAGACAAACAGCACATGTAATAATACTATTAGTTTTGGTTTTTTTGCAGTCCAGTAATGCGGATAGACTGCGGTACATGGTATGGAAGATGCAGTCAAGCTTTCCGGGAGCTAAAAGGAGAAAGGAGCGGTGTGTCCATGACGCACCTCGTCCCCGTAGAACGGTCCTGTGACCGTCATTCCGGAAGGGCTACCCCCTTTTGCACAGGCACCCACTTGGAGCAGTAGTTTGGGATTAACAGGCCTCCGGGTTTCATTAAGCGCACCCCGGTACTGAGCCAAGTTTGCTCCTGTGGAACAGCTGTGGTAAATAAATGCCACAATGCGAAAAGCTGTCAGCAGACACCTTCAAACTGCCAGCGGAACTAGTAAGTGAGAAGATGAATGTCAGAAATGCAGCGCGTGGAGCCGCGGGTGCAAAGAGACAGTCTGTGTGTCCTGCTCAGTCAGTCTCTTTGCTACTGTGTGTCTGCAAGCGTTTAACAATGACAACTAGCAGCTCACTTGTAAAGCAGGTGGGAATGAAATGTTATTATGTTAGTAGGAAAATGTATGTTTTTAAACAGCACTAAGCACCTTGTTAAGCCTGCTGTATGTAAAAAATGGATTACTTAGCAACAGCAGGTACACTGGAAGACTACAGGCTATGGTTATGCAGGAAAGCCAAAGTATTTCCATATTCCAAAATATTTCACTGTGACAACATATTGGGTTTGGATTATGAATTCAGTCACTGGCCTCAAGTGAATTTCAGGTTACATTAATGATTGCCTGTTACTCAAGATTACTCAGCATGTGGGGTGTCTCCTGTGTTCTGGAAGCAGGCAAGATCTACAAACAACTGTCCAAATAAGGTTTTGGTGCAGGGAGGTTTTGAATCTCAGAGCTGGCAATTGATTGCTGATAACTGCACCAACCAGATACAAAAGCTAAACACGTGAAGTCAAACCTAAAAGCTGAGGAACCCCTGAGGACCCTCGTGTTTGCCGGGCAGCATGCAAGATTTGGAGAGATCTACTTCTGCCTGAAGTCAGCTTCAATCCAACAAGAGCTTTCTTAGCAGGAAGAGTGCAAGAGATCCCAGAGGCTGCCACTGAGAAGTGTCTTTATAAGTCACTATTTTAGTTTTGATACTATTCAAGCACATAATACTGATAGAATCAGGTAGTTAGGTAGGCAAAACTTGTGCATAAATCTTAAGAGTTTACTTTGACTTTCACAGCTGATTCTTACACAATCCCATCCCTCCCCGCCTCCAAACCATGATACTCAGGACAGTTGTGGCACAAAAACCTGGTTCATAATTCAGATTACAGATCTGGCAGACACATTTTTATACATGTCAGATAATTGACAAAACTCAAAGGTGCATTTCATTTTACTATCAAGAGCTACATAGAAATTACCTGAATGGAAAGGAAACTGCTGTTTAGCTTCCCCTGTGTGAGCATCCCAAATTATTGTTGTCTGTAGCCAAAGGGAAGGGGAAAAAAAGAGAGATTAGTGATGATTCAGCTCGGAGAATAATAGCAAGACACTGAGAGAGAGCCCTCACTGAGGTGTAATTCGAAAACACGGCTTTGATAAACCTGACTGCAGAGACCCTAATATGCTGCTTAGCTGAATAAACAGAAATAACTTCCAAATATCACAAGGTTATAAGCAAAGTGTAGATATAGAAGTATCCCTCCTACAGAGGAAGTAATTTAACAACTAACTATGGGCGTGTTTTTTTCTGAATAATATTTGAGAATAATACTGATTTTTTATAAGTGTTTTGTCATAGCTGTCTCAGTTACCATCTTCCTTAAAACAGACTTTTCCTCTTTTCTAAGCTGCAAGTTGAATTCTACTATAAAATTTAGTGATACTATATTTTATAATGATTATATTACCATGTGAAATATTTATCTTGCTACCACTGTGTTAGAACAAACTACATATAATTTATTAATTTGTTTATGGCAGGTTTAATCCATATTTACAGCCTGCTTAAGCAACACGCCTGCAGAACCAAATACGATCTGATGAGCGACTTGCCCATCTATTGGGACCATGTACTTACAGAGAATATATTAAGGATTCCTCATCTTGCTGATAATAGATCATCTTAAGAATCACTGCTGTTACAGGCAAAGTAAGCTTGCCAGGATAATGGAAATATCACTGGGAGATATTTCTCCCTCTCTCCCTCCTCTTTCACAAATGGGTAAAATATAAGATTCTTCTACAAGCTGTATGTACAGGTCAGAGCTAGCTCCCTTAGGAGCCCTTTGTAAATTGATGGAAAGGGATGCAGGCAACACATCTCGCTGTAACACATGCCAAGCAGCTCATCTTCAGGAAGGGAACTTTTTTCTCTCCTGATTTTATAAAGGAAGCCAATGATGACAGAGACATGTAACTTTTTAGGCATCTAAAGCTAGACAAGATGAATGGTGTTTACTTTCCAGTTTAAGTTTTAATGATTTTGTGTTCATCCTTCTATTCATTTTAATCTCTTAATACACACTCAGTAGGAGCTACCACATTTTCTCTGATTTTGAGCTCAGAACCATCATATTTTGCACATTTGCAATGAAAACCTTATATACTGTTTGGAAGCAAATTTCTTAATAATCAGATGAACTAGCTACTTCCTTCCCTGCAAATATTTGATAAAACTATATGCATAAGTAAGCAAACTAGTTCTTTATCTGAAAAACATTTAAGATCCCATTATACACAGGGTCACTGTGGAGATGTGTTTAAAAAAACTTTCACATAAAAATAGGACACATTCACGCAGCCTCATAAACATAATCATCTGGAGGAATTAATGTGGAGGAAACCAAGATGTACTAAAACAAATTAAAGAAAGTAAATTCTCCAGGGCTCCTAAAGCAGAAGAAAATGATCTGAGGAATTCAGCAGCCCAGGCTCAGTGAATCATCAATTTATATGTCAGAAGTAGGTGTTTTTAAAACTCACTTTATCGACACCAGCACTTAAAATATAATTCCCCTTTTTGTTCCATTTCAGGGCAAATATGGGACCTTTATGTTGACCTAAGGTGCTTGCAAGGTTACCTGTAATAAAGAAAAAGGTAGCATTACCATTTCATTGTAAGTTAGCCAAATTACTGCTAATGTTACTAAGATCAGTAACTACTGAGTGACTTACCATCTTCTGTCCATATTCTTGCAAAACCATCATACGATCCTGTAGCCAATAGTGTTCCATCACTCTGTTAGGACATACATATATATATATGTGTCTTAGGTAAATACTAGATCAGATACATTTCAACCAACATTTTCTTTTTTTTGCTTATTTGTTTGATTTACTATGGTTTCCTTTAAATCTGAGCATACATAATGAGAAAGGTAATATCAATATTACATTTTGATCTAAATTAATGGTTAATACAGCAGATATCAAAGAGTAAATAAACTCCCTGACTTGCTGTGAAATACAGGACTACACCATCACATACAGTAATTGAATCAAAAGGATCGGGAAAGGAAAATAAGATATCACAAATTCTTCCAGTTAATAAACAGATAATACATAAGGAGCCCTTAATTCATCAACAGATCACCTAAATCCACGTTCTGTGAAATTTAGGCCTATCCCTGTAAGAACAACCTAAGCCCCTAAGCCCTGGACACCCACCTTTAGCACCTCAAACACTATCTAACAAAAAGAAGCCACTTCCTAGGTGTCTAAACAGAGGGTCAGACACGTGCGCAGAGGCACACTACTATTATGGGTGGCCTAAGCAAGATTTCATGTGTTCCACTTCAAAGAATCACAGAATCACTGCAGTTGGAAAAGACCTTTGAGGTCATGGAGTCCAACCGCGAGCCTCTCCACACCCTGCCTGCTAACCCGTGTCCCCAAGCGCCCCGTCTGCGCGGGTCTTGAGCGCTGCCAGGGATTGGGACTCCAGCACCTCCCTGGGCAGCCTGTTCCAATGCTCCACTGCTCTTTCCTTGTGAAAAATTTTCCTAATGTCTAACTTGACCTTCTCCTGGTGCAACTTAAAGTCATTTCTAAGTGAGAACATTTAGGTAAACTTCATTTCCACAAATCCATGGGCTCTGATGCGATGCATCCAAGAGTGCTGTGTGAGCTGACAGATGTTATTGCTAAACCACTTTCTGTCATCTTAGAAAGGTCCTGGAGAACGGGGGAGATGCCTGATGACTAGAAGAACGCCAATGTCATGCCAATTTTCAAAAAGGAAAAGGAGGAGGACCCGGGCAACTATAGGCTAGTCAGCCTCACCTCCATCCCTGGGAAAGTGATGGGACAGCTCATCCTGGCTCTTCTCTCCAAGTGCATGGAGGACAAGAAGGTGCTCAGGAATAGCCAGCATGGATTCAGCAAGGGGAAGTCATGCCTAACTAACATGATGGCCTTCTATGATGGAGTGGCTGGCTGGATAGCTGAGGGCAGAGCGGTGGATGTCATCTACCTGGACTTGAGCAAGGCTTTTGACACCGTCCCTCACAGCATCCTCCTGGGCAAGCTCCCAAGGTGTGGGATAGATGAGTGGACAGTGAGGTGGATTAGGAACTGGCTGCATGGCAGAGCTCAGAGGGTGGTGATCAGTGGTGCTGAGTCCAGTTGGAGACCTGTAGTTAGCAGTGTCCCCCAGGGGTCGGTCCTTGGTCTGGTCCTGTTCAATTTATTCATTAATGACCTGGATGAAGCGATGGATGCTCCCACAGCAAGTTTGCTGATGATACAAAACTGGGAGGAGTAGCTGAGGGTTGTGCTGCCATCCAGAGGGACCTGGGCAGACTGGACAATTGGGCGGTTAGAAACCTCATGAAGTTCAATAAGGGTAAGTGCGAGGTCCTGCACTTGGGGAGGAATAACCCCAGACACCAGTACAGGCTGGGAACTGAGCTGCTGGAGAGCAGCCCTGCAGAGAGGGACCTCGGCGTCATGGTGGATGACAAGCTGACCATGAGGCAGCAGTGTGCCCTGGTGGCCAAGAAGGCCAATGGGATCCTGGGGTGCATTAAGAAGAGCCTCTCCAGCAGGTCAAGGGAGGTGATTGTCTCCCTATACACAGCCCTGGTAAGGCCACATCTGGAGTACTGTCTCCAGTTCTGGGCTTCCCAGTACAAGAGGGATCTGGAGAGAGTCCAGTGCAGGGCTACGAGGATGATCAGGGGCCTGGAACATCTGCCCTATGAGCAAAGGCTGAGGGAGCTGGACCTGTTCAGCCTGGAGAAGAGAAGGCTGAGGGGGGGACCTGATCAGTATCTGTAAATACCTCAAGGGAGGCAGTGAGGAGGAGGGGGTCGGCCTCTTTCCAGTGGTGGCCAGCGATAGGACTAGAGCAAATGGCTACAAACTGAGGCACCAGAAGTTCCCTGGGAACTTAAGGAAAAAATTCTTAACAGTGAAGGTGACAGAGCCCTGGAACAGGCTGCCCAGAGAGGTTATGGAGTCTCCTTCTCTGGAGATCTTCAAGACCAGCTTGGACACAATCATGTGCCACGTGTTCTGGGTGTCCCTGCTGGAGCAGGGGGCTTGGACTAGATGACCTCTAAAGGTCCCTTCCAACCTGAACGATTCTATGATTCTGTGATTTCCTCTTGTCCTATGGGTAGTTACTCTGGAGAATAGATAGACCTCTGCCTTACCTGCCTCTGAAACCTCCTTTCAGATAGTTGCAGAGAGCAATAAGGTCTCCCCTGAGCTTCCGCCTGCTGATCGCTGTCAGCAAATAAATATATGTGTCTAGAGGGAAGCCTTCATCAAATGATAAGCTCCTATGCTGACAAGAATGCTAAATTTCCTGTGCCAGAATACACAAGATGAAATCTGAGCCTGGGACATGGTGAGGCAGGTACTGCTGGAGACAGGCATTTCCTCAGTAAGACATTTCGGCTGCTGCATTAGAAGTAAGATTCACCTCATTTATCTCCAGAACTTGAGAAGTTTGGAATTAGCTTAACAGCTTCTCAGAATCATCCACATACAGACATCAATTCAGGATCTCATTTCCTTTAGGCACTTCCCAGATCCCCACCAAGGAACATACATCTGCTCCTGCTGATTTTTGTGGAAACCTGTATCACTAGTGTAGGCAGCTAAAGCTAAGGGAGATGAATCTTGCCCTTGATGCCAAAGGACATGGTCTGAATATGACCTCTACAATCAAGATCTAACAAGTACTGATTGGATGACATTTTGTTTTACAATGTAAATCACATAAAACAGAAGAGAATTGATTCAGTATATTAGCCAGTGTGAATATTTTACAGTGAAATATGATTAATATTGTGGTTCTAAGTAAACAGTAAAAGCAGATGGCTTTCCTAGCATCATGAACAGAAAATTAAGAAAAAGAATAAAATAATCCTCTAAAACATATGTCCACTCCAACCCTCCAAAAACAGTGAGTCAGAGTGGTTGTAGATTTAATTCAAATATAAAATGATGTAGGGAAAAAAAGAAAACCCAAAATCCAAGCCAGCTTCACTGAGATATACACATCTAGGTTACCAATGAGAACATAGGTGGGAGCAGCACCAGGAAGAAGGGAAGCATCAACCAAGTTTGGAAAGGCAAGGAATTACCAGAGAATGCCCTTTCCCATCCCTTTTCACCAGCTTTTCTCCTCTATGCAACCTTTCTCTTCATATTCCTCACCACAGCTTTTCCTGACAATCCTTCTTCACCATTATGTCCACAGAAAACAAATAATGAACACAGTTACTTTAATCTGAATTTGCTTTGCTAACCTACCTGGGATTTCTGTACTATTTATCGACTTCATTCCCATGTCAAATATACAAAATGAAGGGGAAGCTGTTTGGTGCCCTTACTCTTTCTTTTACTTTTGCAAGCACCTGGCTCACCTGGAGGACAGTAACACTGCAGTAAAGATTAATCTATAGGACCTGGTCTCCAACCAGGCAGTGAGACCAGGTACTGACGAGAATCCTTCCTCAGAATTAATTTTTAAATCTGATTCCTAAGGAGATAAGGTAAATGAGATCACTGTGTGCTAACATCAACAAACTGAGCCAAGGAAGAGATCTCAAAATGAATCCAGATTTCTACATGGTCTTTTAAGTTCCAAGAAAGGAGACATGCAACATCCTCTGCTCACGGACACTGCCCACGCACCAGAAATTCTCATTAATATCTGTCTTTTTTGTTCATTCCAGACATTTCTGTACAAGACTGTAGTCTCAGACAGAAGTTTTTGCCGGATAATTCCACCTTTGCCAGATCATTCCACCTTTCTAGCTCATCCTCGTAGGTGACGGCTTTGGAGCGGAGGCTCGCGCCGTGAGACCTACCCGAGAGCAGCTAAACCGGCGGCCCCAAGCCGCGTAGTGCAGCGCACGCACCCGAGCAGGGCTAGTGAGGCAGCCCCAGCCCCAGGCGGCCCAGGCGCAGCGGGGGCGCAGTCGGCAGGGCAAGGCGGCCGGAGCCCCCGCCTACAAGAGCCGCCCCCTGGGAGCGCGGGCGACCAGGAGTGCGGCGACCAGAGCGTGGCGCGGCAGCAGGCCGTGGCGCGGCAGTTGCTGCGGCAGTTGGTGCGGCAGTTCAGGCGGGCAGGCAGGGCGGGCAGGGAGCAGTTCCTCGGCGCACCCGCCATGGTAATCACCCGCCGGAGGGCTGCGTTAGCACCCGCTAAGGAGGAGATAGGCACCCAGACTGAGCGGCTGCTCCAGCATGCAGCCGTCCAGGTGTCGGGCTGCAAGGAGTGCTGCAGCCTGGCGCTTCCGATGGATGGCCTGGAGGAGTGCACCTGTGTGCGGTGCGAGCAGGTGGAGGACCTGCTCCACATGGTAGCTAAGCTAAAAGATGAGGTGGAAAATTTAAGGAAAATCTCTAGGTCAGAGAGGGAGAAGCGGGGGCAGGCACCAGGGAGGGCTCAGCAGCAGCGACAGGTTGGTACAGGCTCCAACCCCAGGACAAGGCACAAAGATGGTAAAGAGCAGAGGAATGCGTGGACAAAAGTCCAGGGTCGAGGTGGCAAGGTGAAACCTCCTCCCACCCTACCCTATAGGGTCCCCCTGGCAAACAGGTATGAGGCCCTGAAGGAGGTAGGGCAGTCGGTAGAGGGTGAGGGGGTGGCTCCCTCCCCTCCAGAGGAGGTGCTGCAGTCGGAAAGGCCAACTGCGCAGGTTGTCACCGCGGCCAGGAGGCAGAATAGGAGGGTTATTGTTGTGGGTGACTCCCAGGTTCAGGGAACAGAGGGACCGATTGCTAGGCCCGACCCTCTCTCAAGAGAGGTCTGTTGTCTTCCTGGGGCCCGGATTAGAGATGTCACCAGACGACTTCCCAGGCTGGTCTGACCCACGGACTATTATCCCTTAATGGTCCTACATGTGGGTGCAGAGGAGGCGGCAACGCGTAGCCTGAGAGCAATTAAAAGGGACTTTAGGGAGTTGGGGCGCACGATCAGGGACACAGGCGCACAGGTCATCTTCTGTTCGATACTTCCCAGTGCAGCCGGCAATACAGAAAGAAATCATAAGGTACAGTCTATTAACACGTGGCTCCGTGACTGGAGTCATTGCCATAACTTTGGCTTCTTTGGTAACAGGAGGTCTTACATGGCACCAGGCATGATGGCACCCAATGGGGTCCACCTTTCTCAAAGGGGGAAGAGGGCCCTGGGGCAGGAGCTAGCTGGGCTCATCATGAGGGCTTTAAACTAGATTCGAGGGGGGAGGGGGGTATCCGTGGGGTGGCAAATGAGATGGTGCCTGATGGCCCGTCACACCATCCACAGCAATCTAGAGCTGTGGCCTGTGAAGCGTCCTCTAGGACTCTAGAGGCCTTAGGGCAAAATAGGCAAACTTCCGAGAGCCCGCACAGTCAGGCTGCAGCTGTCCCGTCAAGGAGGAGAGGCACATTGGGAGCCCCGCTCAAATGCCTCTACATAAACGCACGCAGCATGGGGAATAAACAAGAGGAGCTGGAGATGCACGTGCGGCTACAGGGCCATGATCTCATTGCGATTACTGAGACATGGTGGGACAGCTCCCATGACTGGAATGTGGCCATGGAGGGCTACAGGCTTTTCAGGAGGGACAGGGCAGGAAGGCGAGGTGGCGGAGTTGCTCTTTATGTGAGGGAACAACTGGAATGCTTAGAGCTCAGCATAGGGGAGAATGGAACGCGAGTAGAGAGCCTGTGGGTGAGGATAAAGGGACAAGCCAGCAGGGGCGACACAGTGGTGGGAGTTTACTACAGGCCTCCTGACCAGGACGAGGAAGTGGACGAAGCCTTCTACGGGCAGCTGCGGGAAGCCTCCCAAGCACAGGCCCTGGTCCTCCTGGGGGACTTCAACCACCCTGATATCTGCTGGGAAAACCACATAGCCAGGAACAGACAGTCCAGGAGGTTCCTGCAGAACATTGCAGATAACTTCTTGACACAGGTGGTTGAGGAGCCAACAAGGGGAGGGGCGCTGCTAGACCTGATACTAACAAACAGAGATGGTCTAGTGGAAAATGTGAGGGTTGGGGGCAGTCTGGGCTGCAGCGACCACGAGATGTTGGAATTCACAATCCGGTATGGAGGAGGTGGGGCGAGAAGTAGGATAGCTACCCTGGACTTCAAGAGAGCCAACTTCGACCTCTTCAGGGAGCTCCTTGGAGCAGTCCCCTGGGTCAGGGTCCTAGAAGGAAAGGGGGTCCAGGAGAGCTGGCTGATATTCAAGCGCCACTTCCTCCAAGCTCAGGATCGGTGTATCCCCTCAAAAAAGAAGTCGAGTAAGAGGGGCAGGAGACCTGTATGGATGGGTAAGGAATTGCTGGGCAAAGTGAATGAGAAAAAAAGAGTGTACAGCTTGTGGAAGAAGGGACAGGCCATGTGGGAGGAATACAGGCACATCGTCAGAGATTGCAGATGCGAAACGAGGAAGGCCAAAGCCCGGGTGGAATTAGAGTTGGCGAGGCAAGTCAGAGACAACAGGAAGGGTTTCTATAAGTATGTCAATAGCAAGAGGAAGACAAGGGAAAATGTTAGTGCACTGCTGAATGGGGAAGGGGCCTTGGTGACGGAGGATGCCGAGAAGGCAGAGTTACTAAATGCCTTCTTTGCCTCTGTCTTTACTGCTAAGGCGACCCCCCCATGAACTGTAGGGCTCAAATGGAAGAGATGTAAATGGACTAGAGGAAGACCTTCCGTGGGTTGAGAAGGATTGGGTTAGGGATCACCTAGCCAAACTGGCCACTCAAAAATCTATGGGCCCAGATGGGATGCACCCAAGA